GTCAGGACATGTACCACAATAAATAGTTGCTATCCTTACAGAAATAAATATGCCAAGTTCCAAGATGATCCATTCAAAATTCCGGCCTGTAGACATAAAATTACAGCCTATCATTTACAGATAAAATATTAACCAAAAGTGGGTATGGCACCGCCAAAAGGGTGGGGCGGGAATCATGCACCAAAATCAATAGTTGTCGTCCTTAGGGTATACGGAATAAGTATACCAAGTTCCAAAATAATCTTTTCAGAATTGCGGCCTTCGGACGCTAAACACATATATTGGGCGTGGCTCTTCCCCTGGGAGTCGGGACATGCACCAAAATCAATTGTTGCCGCCCTTAGGCTATATCGTGGTCAGGCTATAAGGAATATACCAAGTTCCAGGACGATCCATTAAGAATTGTGGTCTGTAGACAATACACAGACACACAAAACAACAGGGGTGTGGCTGTCCCTGGGAGGGGGGGGGGGCATTCATTGGGTACAAGGAACAGTTTTTCCAAGTTTCAAAAGGATCTCTTAAGAATTGTGGCCTGTAGGCGAATCACGGACACACAAAAATTGATTGTGGATCTGTTCCCGGGGTTTGGGCATGCACCAAAAATAATAGAGGTCATCTTTAGGCCATAAGGAATAAGTATGAAAAGTTTTCAAGGCAATCGATTAAGAATTGCAGCCTGTAGGCGACATAAAAAAAAAGAAAATGGGCGTGGATGCACCAAAAAGAATAGGGATCATCATTAGGGTATACGGAATAAGTATGTAAAGTTTCAAGACAATCAGTTCAGAATTGCGGCCTGTCGGCGACACGCACACAGACAGGAGCGACGGCAATATACGTCAACATGACGATAAAAACAAATTGTGAGAATAACTTTATTTCGCGAGATCTTCAATTGCGGAGAAATTCAAAAGAGTACAACCAAGCAAATGCAAAATTACTTTAGTACTTTAAATGGCATAAACAGGAAAAGTGTTCTATTGGGGTGCCTGAATTCAATGTATGTAATAACATGCCAGAAGATTTTAATGCACATATTTTTAGAGGGTGTGGCTCAGTATGCAATTAAAAGAAATTCTGAAACATTTTATCCTTGAAACAAACTTGAAGACTTTTAACTTTGGATATGATGACCTGGACAAACGGCAACACTAATCTTACTCGAAACTTTACATTCTAATGAAAACAGAATTAGGCAAAATGCTAGTCAAATAATGGTTTTGCTTAAAATTATTCTATTCATACTATATGATTTTTTTGATTGTGAAAATGTTATTATAAAAGCCATGTTGGATCTAATGGAAATTTTTAACATACTAGTTGCTCCTGCAGTTACACTGGGAAGTGGGAACTTTATGTCACTTAAAAAATTTTATTACTGATCATTTGGAACAGTTTAAGAGAATATTTCCAAATCTTAATATCATGCTAAAACAAACTAATCACTATGCTACATTTTGTCAATGCTTATTGCAAATAAACAAAACTTTGCTAATTTGCCATTTTCGATTGCTGAATCCATTCAGTATTTAGAAAGTATAGATTTTCAAAATGATGATTACCATCCTATGTGTTCCAATAAAACAAAACAAGTACGAACCATCCAAACCATTAGATAAAATTCGCGACAAACAGTGGTAACAGGTGTCCGGAAGAGTAAACTTACCCTGCCTGTCGTCACACCCGCCATGGCCGCACATCCAAACCATAAGACAAATCTCGGTAAAATAGCGTAATTAGACAATGGATTATCCCTATGCAAAAAGCACGTGATGAATAGTGTTGACAAATGTAGTATACATAATCAGGAAGATAATATACTCGTCAATTAAATATATCTAGAATAATAATTTACTAATAAAGTCAATATGACGGCCATAGATCTTTTTAAAGGTTTTTGTAAGTTTAGTGGGCAAGTATCCCTGTAGTTCACTAGTTAAAGCTTGGATGACAAATGCCTCGACATGTTTGTAAACCTGCTAAGGCTTTGGCAAAAGATGAAGAAAAAACTTTTATTTTAAAGGTTCAAGATTTTTACACTATTGATGTTAATGAAATCACATTAGTTCAGATTATGTCATACTCATACATTATAATATATTTCTCACCAGTCATTTCTGTTATCTCTCTGACAAGGCATAACCGAAGACGGGTGCTTTTAACCGTTTGAGGCAGATACGAAATTGAACTTAAAAATAACAGATTTTGCTCCTATTAGTCCTATTCGACGCAAACTAGGTCATTTCGGGACTACATGATCAATTTTATTTCAATGATTTCGCTTGCAACGTCGACGTCTTTAGCAGTAGCAGAAAACCGGAGGACCCGGTTGATTTAAATTAACTGAAATGTATTTAAACAAGCCAATAAATAGATGACACATATTCATTAATGCACATTTATTTTTTTCAAATATTTTAAGCAATCAAACAAATTATCACCTATACACTAAGTTTGATCACTCTCTATCATATAGAATCAAAGTTATCTTGTCCCAAAGCATCGACCAATGCAATTGCTTAGCTTTAGTTCGAAATGTTAATCATTGAACTCAGTCAAGCCATTCACCTAATGAACATCTACATCAAGTTTAAATATTCTACCTCAATTAAAAGCAGAGTTATGTTCAAAAGTCTTGACCAATCAAATTGCTTTTTTTTTTTACACTATTCGCGTACAAGCGGCGGCCGTTTTGTTCGGCAATTTTGGTCCGATGTTTACGACATTCGAACTCAACCTTCATTACATTGTAACGGTGGTATAATCAAAAGTTTTATTAAATCGGGTAATAATTGTGACCTCCAGAGGGACCACAAGCTAATAAAGGCGATTTTTCGTACAGTCAGGGGCCATAATTCAGGAAGTTACGATCTGATATGCGCAAATATCGAAAGGAACCAATATCTTTAGGTTATAAATCTACATTTCAAGTTTCATCAAAATCGAATTAAAATTGTGACCTCTACAGTCGTAGCCAAAAGAATAGGACCACGCTTGGAAATGGTTGGATTTCTTACATGTAAATTCATTTGATCATATATATGCCACCTGAAGACCGATTTTCACAAATGAGGTATCAGTGAATAAGTTATGTGAAGTATGTTCACTACGTATGCACATGAAATAAGTAGAAAGAAACATTTGAGTGATGTACAAAAAGCCAAATCGTGATGCTGCCCCGGGAAGGATTCTCGGAACGGGCAATAGCAAGAAGATTGTAGGCGAGCAAGAATGCTGTCCATAATGCGGTGAAGAATTTCGACAACTCCGCTTCCTATACGGATGAGAAGAAAAGTGGTCGGCCACCTAAACCCTCTGCTTGGGATGATGTTATGATTCGGAGGATCGTTATGAGATCCCCAACGAGTTCTTGTAATACAAAATCGATCTGTACTACTACGAGCGGGGGTAGAGGTGAGTAACAGTGTAACAGTGATATAATCAAACGGTTTTTTAAATCGGATAAAAATTGTGACCTCTGGAGAGACCACAAGCCCAAAATGCGATTTTTCGTAAAATCAGGGGCTATAATTCAGGAAGTTACGATCCGATATGCGCTAATATCGAAAGGAACCAAGATCTTTGGGTTATAAACATGCATTTCAAGTATCATCAAAATCAGATCAAAATTGTGACCTCTAGAGTGTCCACAAGCTAAAATCGCGATTGTTCGTACCATCAGGGGCCATAATCAACGAAGTTGGGTCCGATACATGCCATCTTAGGGAGATAAATCTATATTTCAAGTTTCGTTGAAATCAGATAAAAATTGTGACTTGTAGAGTGTCCACAAACAAATTGTGGACGGACGGACGGAGAAACAGGGGCGACGACAATATACGTCCACATGAAAATGTGGCCGTATAAAAATTGCTACCTCTATAGGGTCCACAATCTAAAAACGCAATTTTTCGTACAATAAGGGGCTATAATCCATGAAATTACGGTCGGATACATGCCAATATCGAAAGGAACCGAGCTTTTAGGGAGATTTCAAGTTTCGTTGAAATCGGATAAAAATTGTGACCTGTAGTGTGTCCACAAACAATTGTGGACGGACGGACAGGTGCGACGACAATATACGTTCACATGCTGCTGTACGTATTCCAGAACACACTGTAGAAAATCGTTCTGAGTGGTTTTTGATATGTACGAGGCGTTCTTTCGACCCCTTTCGAAATGTTTCCGGAGTTCAGTGTCAGTTCTGCTGAAAAATGCCACCACCGCTTTGAAATTTTCATGTTTCGTCGCTGATCATCGTCCTCTTCTAAAGGATTACCATCGTCTCGATGTCCCCGAAGACCGATGCCTTGACGAACACAGTGCTTCAACATTTTCTGTTGTGTTCTATAACTTGTTGTGATTTGCTCGACAGTATCTGATCTACTCGGGTGAGAGGAACACTTCGCGTTCGAAGGAAGCCTTGCATTTTATCACAAGAATCTCGGTGGTACTGTAACGCACTGTGTTTTTTTAGGTCAGATATAGCATCTTTCCAATTTCAGTATGGTGTCGTTATGAACATATTTGATTGTGCGTCTTGATGAGCTGGCATTGAAAACATAGAGCATGCTAAACAATATAGACAATCCCCAATAACCTATGAAAGAGAGAGAAATGGGGTTTAACGTCCACTCAACACAAACTAGGCCATTTCCCGACTAACACATGGTTCAATTTTATTTCAATAATTCGCTTACGCGTAGGGGTCTTTAGCAGTGGGAGGAAACCGGAGGACCCGGAGAAAAGCCACGAGGTTGGACAGTCGACTCTACTCCTTGTCACGTACAACCGGGGAATCGAAACCCCGCCAGTTGACTCAATGACAGACCGTATGATACAGCGCAGCGCGCACGTGCTAACCATTTGGCCATCCAACCCACCCCCCGAATAACCTATGAAGTTATTGTCATCAAGCCATTGTTGCTGGCAGTGACCAAGCATGGTGCCGCTTGCTCTGCGTTTATCACAGTTTTCCCTGGGAACTTGAAACTTACGTCAGGTTTTCGGTTCTCAATGAGGAAAGCCACGGTCATCCTGCAGAGGTCGTTTTTCTCCAACTGCAGCCGCCCCTTCGCTGATGCCATGCGTAAGAATTCTTACAGTTGGTGCCTTTGATTCTGAAAAAAAAAGGAAATTCAAAAGATTAATATTTCACCAACATTTGATAAAATTGACAGAAAGAAAGCATCTATACCATCCTGTTTGGCGTATAATTCAATGAATAATGTAAGTTAGTGACACATGAGGCATACGTTGAATTCTACGTGAAGTCATATACAATAGATTCATACCTGCAGATCCCAGACGCACATTTTCCTCAGTTGCCGGAATTGGAGGCGCCGGGGTCATGTCCATGGTCTCTTTATTCTGTTATTTTGCCTCACGAATGTAGATTGGAAGATTTAATTTCAAGCGAATTTCGCAGTTCTGTAGGAATTTGCAGCTGGCTTGTGCAGGCAAAAAAGGCGTTTGATTCAGCGTCTGATTTGTCATAGCACCTAGGCCCCCGTCGGCTTGCCGGTCTTTAAGGTTTCATCCATACCAAACTTAGGCCGCCTGTCTACAGTTAGCTCCGCTTGAGAACAGACACTAAGTTAGTTGACCGACATTTTAAGTCCTAAATCGACGATTTTAGTCGAAACCACTAAGTACAATTTTTAGAAGTATTTATTCTGCTTCCATTTAATGGAATTGAATAGTTTTTTTTAGTCTTTGTGTGTGTGGCACGTGTGAAATGGAGTAGAAGCGCATTAGAAAACAATATACTAATTTTTGGATTTGGCGGCCATTCAGGACAGTGATTTATTCTCGAAGTATGAAGTAGATGGATCTCTTGTGTTCAGAATGGATTTCATCTGGACTGTGCATACTATAAATAGACAGTCCAAATTAAACCTATGGCGATGAAATGAAGAGAAGAATGATGATATTTGAACCAGACTATAGTTGGTCAATATTAAGCTCACCTGATGCATTATTACCCAATTCAGTAGTCGGCTCTTCTTGAATAGACGCAACAGCGTATTGACTTTCCGTGGACGCGGATGGCGGGGCGGGATTATCATTAAGTGTGGAACCCGTTTTTGCTGAAATAATAATAGGACGAGGAGGTAGAATGTTTATCATCATCAAATTAGTTATAAGTTGACAAACCTGTACAGAGATTTATTCGGTACGGAATGAGAGGAGGCTGGCATGACAATGTCCAGTCGTTCGGATATAAGTTCTCCCCAAAACAGTATTTCTACTAACATATCTGTAAACCTTTAGTTCAGATTAGATTTGGGGCTAAATTCCTAACAAATATTTGAATTGAAACAAAGCATCTATAAATATGTAATTTTCTCACTAAAATAGATATATGGCAAAACCTAAATAATACTGTAAGAAGAGAGTGGCAATTATAATGAAGAGAAAAAAAAATCATATGGAGTTTAATGCCGAACTGTTCGGTATCAACCGGGATAATGAAGATGTACATACGCCATACATTATGCTGTGGGGGGAATTTGGTCCAAGCTGCGATGTTAGGTCTACTATTTCGAATTTCAAGTTCTTTTACGTGCACTCAACGTGTGCACGGAACCTCAGTTTCATATCCCATCCGGGGGTTGGATGGCTGAATGGTTAGCGTGCGCGCGCTGTATCATAAAGTCTGTCATTGAGTCGACTGGCGTGGTTTCGAATCCCCGGTTGTACGTGACAAGGAGTAGGGTCACCTGTCCAACCTCGTGGGTTTACTCCGGGTCCTCCGGTTTCCTCCCACTGCTAAAGACCCCTATGCGCAAGCGAATTATTGAAATAAAATTAAACCATATGTTAGTCCCGAAGTGGCCTTGTTTCTCCCTCTCTCTCATATCCCATCCGAATAACTAGACACTGCCTATCACAGTCCCACCCCCTTTCTGCACCACTGGAAAGTTTTAGAAACTGTCTAGGTCAACACGGGGATCAAATCCCGGACCTCCTGATTAGTGAGCCACGGACAAGGGGGAAACCACGCCGGAGCAGGATCAAACCCTGGACAGTTCGGTAAGTGAGCCAGCCCCTTAACGAGACACTTCGGCTCCCTTGCACACTGAAGATACTTGAATGGAAAACCGGAATACTAACTGTACACGTACAATGCCCCCCCCCCCCCCATGAACTATATAATGTATGACGTATGCTCATCTTCATGATACGCGTTGGTGGAGAACAGTAAGACATTAAATTCCATTTGATTTCTTTTCTCTTCATTACAATGTTGTCACTCCCATTACTATATTATTTAGTTTGGCCCATATCTATTTTAGTGAGAAAACTAAATATCTATAGATGCTATGTTTCAATTTAAATATTTGTTAGAACTTTAGCCTCAAATCCTATCTGAAAAAAGATTGAACTTTTATAGGCTCCTGTCTGTAGTTAAATCCTATTCAGTTTATCGAATATTTTTTTAAAACAAAATACTATTATCAATAATTATTGGTATTGTCCATAAAGGGAGATAACTCCAATTACCAACCAGCGGCTGTCAAGCAGTATACGCCCACATTTTGCAAGAGATGGATAGAGAACAAGCTAAAAATGCGATTTCTCGAACAATCAGGGGGCCATAATCCAGGAAGTTAAATTCGGGTATCCGCGATTATCAAAAGGAACCACGATCTTAGTGTGTAATAGTGATATATTCACACGTTTCTTTTTTCAAGATCTTAGTGTGTAATGGTGATATATTCACACGTTCTTTTTTTGTTCAATCAAGGGCTATAATTCAGGAAGTTGCGATCCTATATGCGGGAATATTGAGAGGAACCGAGATCTTTGGGTTATAAACATGCATTTCAAGTTTTATCAAAATCAGATGAAAATTGTGACTTCAGAGGGTCCACAACCCTGATACACAATATTTTGACACTATTTGCGATCGAGTGGCAGCCATTTTGTCCATAAGTTTTGGTCCGATTTTTACGAAATGCGAACTCAGCCATCCTTAGCGTGTGAGGGTGATATATTGTAAGAGGTGTTTTAAATCGGATAAAAATTGTGACCTCTATAGGGTCCACAAGCTAAAAACGCGATTTTTCGTACAATCAGGGGCCATAATTCAGGACGTTATGGTCCGATATGCGCGAATATCGACAGGAACCGAGAACTGTGGGTTATAAACATACATTTCAAGTTTAAACCAAATCAAATAAAAATTGTGACCTCTATAGTGTTCACAAGCTAAAAACGTGATTTTTTGTCCAATCAAGGGCCATAATCCATGAAGTTACAGTCCGATTCATGCCAATATCGAAAGAAACCGAGATCTTTGGGTGATAAACCTATATTTCAAGTTTCATTGAAATCGGATCAAAATTGTGACCTGTAGAGTGTTCACAAACAATTGTGGACGGACGGACGGACAGGGGCGACGACAATATACGTCCACATGAAAATGTGGGCGTACAAAAATGGATTTAGGCCTACTTGACAATTATCGCAATTTTCAGTCATTGTGCTTGGAACTCTCTGGATTTGTGTTCCGGGTGTTATAAGCTTTCCAAAAATGTTTAGTTTGTTTATTAGGGAGGACCATGTAGCCGAACTTCACGCCCTAATATTGCTTAGGTTAGCTTACCTTTCTTCCGTGAAAACAGGTCCATTAACGTCGGCTGAGATCATTTCTCTGTCATAATTGGAATGGTGGACCGTGCGTTGTCACCGTTTTTTAAGTGAAGTATTTAAACAAGATTATTATGCTTTCGTTCATCCCTGAAATTCGGGTCGCCCAATACCCTATACACCAATCTGTTTCATAGAGGATTACGAAAGTGTTCTAATATCTCAAGGGGGGTTGGATGGCCGAATGGTTAGCACGCGCGCGCTGTATCATACGGTCTGTCATTGAGTCAACTGGCGGGGTTTCGATTCCCCGGTTGTACGTGACAAGGAGTAGGGTCGCCTGTCCAGCCTCGTGGGTTTTCTCCGGGTCCTCCGGTTTCCTCACACTGCTAAAGACCCCTACGCTCAAGCGAATTATTGAAATAAAATTGAAATATGTGTTAGTCCCGAAATGACCTAGTTTGTGTCGAGTGGATGTTAAACCCCATCTCTCTCTCTAATATCTCAATCTCCCAGAGTTGTCTGCCCTTGCAGTACACATGTGGAGATTGCTAATATCTCTGTAAAAGATGACTGCCTTCAACACCTGACGTCACGTCAAGCGAAGTCAATCATTGGCCCAATGGCGCGTACATTGTTTACATTTAAGACGTTACTAGTTCGGGCAGAATGGTGCCTTGTACTCGTACACTAAATAGGAAATAATTTTTACCTACAAATACTTCAAACGTCTTTATTTATTTTTCTACTACATAAAAAAAAATGTTTTAGAATTTAATTTGTCGGTGGAAAAAGGTTAATATTTGTGACTCATTGGGTCGCATCGATAATCAGTGATTGTAGCGGCCTAGCGAATATTCACTGCTGATCAGTGTGTCCATACACAGGTGACGGCGACGAGTCCATTTTTGAACCAGTCAGGCGGGGTTGGAGCGTAGTATAACTCAGCTGATAGAGGCCGGGGATCAACAAAACAACAGATTTCAGAAGCCGAAGATGCTTTGTAGGCATAAAAGGGCGCAGAATGACACCAGGACACAGGGACCGCCGACTTACGACGGGGATCATTACCATTTTTTAAGTATTTTTGTTCTCCTTTTCCGCAAGAATATATGGACAAAAAATTGTTAGCGACCGCCAAAAAGAGGGGGGGGGGGCGCACCCGGCGCCTGATGCCTGTCGGTTCTCCTTTCATCATCCGCCAGGAACGAAGCCTATCGAGACTCTGTATTACACGACCCTGCGTTCTAGATCTCCAGTCCCCCCTCCCCTCAACATTGTCAACCTTGGGGACAATGAGAGTAGCCATATATATTGTGAATGTTCTCATCTCATCTCTTGGAAAATGCACTCATTGTCATTCGTATATGTTTGTTTATAAATTGTAGTAAGATCAGGAAGTGCGAACAACCAGTCATCCCACTTACTCATTTCTTGTTTCAACCACTTTATTGAACTGAATAAAACTGTCGAACTTCCAAGTAGGATCTTCCTTTATAGTTTTATGTAATTTAATAACCAGGTCAATCTCTAGAGTGAAAGGAAATTACTGTTTCCTACCATGCTCATGTATAACTTAACAATCGCATAAAATTATTGGGATCATCTGTAATCTTATAAGAGGTAAATCTCTATTTTTGTCCGTCAGTCACACTTTTTGGGACACATTACTCTCTTTCTAATTGCGCTAGAATGTTCAAACTTGGTGTAGGTGTTTATTAAGTCAATGCCTTGATGGAGTTCGAAGATGGGCATTTTCTGCTTAGGGAAAGCAGAGATAAGCAATTTGATTGGTTGATGCTTTGGGACACGATAACTTTAGTTCTAATTAATTGAGAATGATGAAACTTGTGTATAGTTTTATTACATCAATACCGAGACTTTGGAACACAATAACTCTCCTTTTTATTGAGCTAGAATGTTCAAATTTGGTGTAGGTGTTTGTTAGGTCAATGCTTTGATGGAGTTCGAAGATGAGCATTTTCTGCTTAGGGTAAGGACAGATGAGCAATTTGACTGCTTGATGCTTTGGGACACGATAACTTTAGTTCTAATTAAGTGAGAGTGATGAAACTTTGTGTATAGTTTCATTACATCAATACTTTGACTAAGTTCGATAATGAGCATTTTTTGCTCAGGGTAAGCAGAGCGATACGCAATTTGATTGGTCAAGACTTTGGAACACAATAACACTCATTCTAATTGAATAAGAATATTCACACTTGGTGTAGCTGTCTATTAGGTGAATGCCTTGATGGAGTTCGAAGATGAGAATTTTTTTGCTTAGGGTAAGCAGAGATAAGCAATTTGATTGGTTAATGCTTTGGGACACGATAATTTTAGTTCTAATTAGGTGAGAGCACTTGGTGTATAGCTTTATTACATCAATACCTTGACTAAGTTCGATAACGAAAATATTTTGCTGAGGGTAAGCAGAGTGATAAGCAATTTGATTGGTCGAGACTTTGGAACACAATAACTCTCCTTCTAATCGAGGTAGAATGTTCAATCTTGGTGTAGCCGTTCATTAGATGAATGCCTTGATGGAGTTCGATGATGAACATTGTATGCTTTTGGTAAGCAGAGATAAGCAATCGGATTGGTTGATGCTTTGGTGCACGATAACTTTGGTTACAATGAAGTGGATTCATTATATCATTACCTTGACCAAGTTCGATCGAGAGAATTGTCTGCTTAGGCTAAGGATCGATAAGCAATTTGATTGGTCAAGACTTTGGAACATAACAACTGTGCTTTTAATTGGGGTAGACTGGTTAAATTTGATGTAGATGTCCATTTGGGTGAATGTCTTGACTGAGTTCAATGATTATCATTTCGAGCTGAAGCTAAGCAGAACTAATCAATTTCATTGGTCGATGTTTTGGGACAAGATAATCTTGATTCTATCTGGTAGAGAGGGATGAAATTTAGTGTACAGTTTGATTGCTCGATACTTTTGAACAAAATAAATGTGCGATTAATTAATACGTGTCATCTATTTATTTTGGGATTTCTGCGGGGGACATCAGCCTCACTGTTGGCTTGTTTGAAACTAATAGGGGACGAAAATTGGCCAAAGAGCACATACTAATATAATATGAGTGTATATAAACTGATGTACATTCATTTTGTATTTGGACTAAAGTTGAAATACAGGTTTATATTCAAAATGTTGCGTTCCAAAAGGCCTACCATTGACTTAATGCGCAAACCCTTTCCGCTAACATAAGAATAATGGATACCATAATCCTGTTCGGTTGACGAGGCCAAGGTGTCTGCCAAAAGGTAACAACAGAACAACGCAGATCTTTGGTCTAAACACTTTATTATGAAAAACGTCAAGCCAAAGAGAATATCTAAAGAAGAAACATAACAGATTATATCGTGTAGCACATAGATGATAGATACAGCAACAATTTGTACTTCCGTCGGTAGCAAGGTCACGACGCACAATATCTTCAGGGATGTGAGAAACCTTCGAAAGAATAACGAACAGATACACACAGTCGATTTCCGAAAACTATCGTACCAGCCTCTTTACACAAGTTGAAACATTCAACCCCTTACCAAATAAGTACCCAATACCCAGCAGCTACTCGTTAGTGATTGGACCGGTTCCAGATATAACAACATACCGTCGGAATGCCAAATCAGATGTTTATTCATTTATAAAAAATACTTACAATCTGAGTAATGTGAAGATGAATAATAACACACTTTATAGATCTTATAATGAATGGAAATTAGATATACATGATGTAATATACCCAAATTTAAAAAATGGCATTCTCCATATTATAGTTAATACATTGAAATGAATATTATAACATGATAATTATTAGGAATGGTTATATTTGTATACAATTACTTATCGCTGCAATGGATTAAGAATAAAATCAAATAAAGAGTCCACATCGGGTTCACCTCACCAATGATCGCGGATCTTAAGCTTGCGGACCTATCGCGATTACAATTTATATTCGATGGGGTTTAACGTTCAACTCCGACTGACAATTTTTGTTGACATTATTGGCTTAGTTAACCTGTTTGTTACTAATACTATCAAAGGGAATGCTTTTAGTATAGTTCAGGTCATTAAACAATCAGCAGACAGATAACGATTTCAGGTAGTTTAAAGATATGTATAATAATGTTAACACGGGGTTTACTTTAGTATATTATAGGACCTTTACAATATGCACACAAAACGCTTTTGGATATTTTAAAGATATTTACAATAATAATAAACACATAGAGCGCCTTTGTTTTGTTAAATATACTTATAATAATGTAAACATTAGGGACGCTTTTACAGTGTACAATAATAATAAGCATATATAATATTTAACCAGCGGTTGCCAGGTAAGATACGCCCACATTTTGCATGATACGGATAAGAGAACAAGCTACAATAAGGGGCCATAATCCAGATAGTTATGGAAAGGGGCTGAGATCTTTGGGATATAATGATGGTGATACACTTAAACGGCTTTTAAAATCAGATAAATAATTGTGGCCTCTAGAGAATCCTGGAAGTGACAGTCCAATATGCCCAAATATCAACAGGAACCACGATCTTTAGATTTTAAACATACATTTCAAGTTTCAGCAAAATCGGATAAAAATTGTGACTTCTAGAGTGTCCACAACCTTGGAATTCCATACTTTTACACTATTTTTGCGTACAAGAGCGGTAGATTTTAAGAAATTCGAACTCGACCTCCAATGATGTTGTAACAGTGATATATTTAAAATGGTTTTTAAAATTGAATACAAATTGTGACTTCTAGCGGGTCCACAGGCGATTTTTAAAACAATCAGGGATCAAAATCCAGAAGTGACGTTCGGATATGCGCGATTATCGGAAGGAACCAAGATCTTTGAGATAAAAACATAAATTTAAAGTTTCATCAAAATCGGATAAATATTCTTGCAACCTTGATATACCATATTTTTACACCATTTGCGTACGAGGGGCGGCCATTTTGTTCGGCAGTTTTGGTCCGATTTTCGTGACATTTGAACTCAAACATCATAAGGGTGTAACGGTGACATATGCGAACGTTTTATTTTTTAAAATCGGATAATAATTGTGACCTCTAGAGTGGCCACAAGCTAAAATGTTTCATCAAAATCAGTTGAAAATTGTGACCTATAGAGTGTCCACAAGCTAAACACGTGACACGGTATTTTAAATCGGATAAAAATTGTGACTTATAGAGGGACCACATGCTAAAAACGAGATTTTTCGTAAAATCAAGGGCCATAATTCAGGAGGTTACTATCCGATATGCACGAAAATTGAAAGGAACCAAGATCTTTGGGTTATAAACATGCATTTCAAGTTTCATTAAAATTGTGACATCTAGAGGGTCCCTGTCCCTAAGCATGCACCAAAGAATTGTGTCGTCGAGGCAAAGCCATACACAGACAGGGTAATACGTCACAGATTAAAAATTGGGGGCATTTTTGTGCTTGCAAGTTAATAGGAAAAGTGGGTTCGAGGGGGAGGGGGGTCCAATTCAATCACATTGTTGTTAAAGCTAAAACATCACATGTTACATAAAGTCTATGGAATCATATCATCCAAGGGGGTGGGGGTGACTCTAATTCTATGGAATCATATCATCCAGGTTTCTAACTGACTGGGTAAGTTTTAACCAGAATAATTCAATGCCTTCATCGTTCCAGCCCCACTTGATGTAATTATCAACATTTAGTATCTTATGAAACGTTTTGGTTACATTGAGAGCACTAAGTTCTCTCAGAACTATAACAATCATTAAATCTCGTCGTTCAGTTATATACTTATCATAGGCTAAACTTGCTTCAAACTCACAGTAACTATCCCGTGCATAATTATCAGACAAACACAGAATAACTTTACGGCTTGCATCCATGTTATTAATTATGCTATCAATTTTGTTTCCCTGCCCATCTCGGAGAGGAATGTAAAGTCGCAGACCCATATCCCTTTCTAATTTAGGTACGATATCATCTAAAATAATATCAAAATCGTTATCTTCGCAACTAAGATAAATATCATGTTGGTATTGTTGATGACCGTGCAAACGATTCTGGTAGCGTTTCTGGTGGAACCGTGCCATATAAACCATGTATCGTAAATGCCATCGGAAACGATAAATACCAGATATTGTCAGTAGCAAGAGAATGAGGGCTACTGAACAATATGTCGCGCTAGTTAATACTAACCTTGAGAAAGCACATTTATGTCCCGAAATAGGTGATTTTACAATCTGTTTGCCCAAACATTCCTTGGGCGAATTACATGTGTAGTATTGGTCATTCTTAAACGGTTTTCGTAGCTTTTGGCTCTTTAAAAAGTTGATGAACCAAAGTAATTCGCAGGAGCAGGTGTAAGAATTGTTTGACAGGTCTATCCATTGCAAAGTATTCAACCATTCTAGGGAGAAAGAATTCTGATTGATGACGGATATCTGATTACTGCTCAGATCTAATTTTTTCAATGACCCCAGACTGCTGAAGACGCCATCTTGAAACCCCGTAATATGGTTATGATCGAGATACAGTGTCTCCAAGTTTCTCATGTGATTAGAAATAACCCGTGGAACAAACGTAATCCTGGTGTTGCCGAGAGATAGTGTTTTTAAGTTTTTCAATGTACTAAATAGCTCATCAAACATTTCATCAGTGGTGGAGATTAAATTATTTGTAGAAACAAACAAAGTTTGCAGTTGCTCGCAGTACTTGAAGGCATTCAAACTTAAATGATTACCATCGAATAATATTTTATTGTTGCTGAAATATAGCTGTCGCAGCGAAGAACTGTTGAAAGCATATGACTGAACTTGAATAGATTGGGCAGAGTTGTACTCAAAGAATAGGTAGTGAAGGACCGAAAGGTCTGAGAATAAATTACTCTCGAAGGACACTATTGGGTTATCCGATATGGACAAATTAGTGAGTGATGTTAGACATTTGAGCTGCCTGCGATTTATATGTCTTATAAAGTTATGGTCGAAAATCAGAGCAGAGAGTTTTGGAAACAACGAAGTTCCATTAACACAAAACCTTGGGAATTCGACTATTTTATTATAAACCACGGAGAACCATTCTATATTGGGAGAATACTCAAGATTGACGGTGTGAATATTTGACCGTGACACAAAGATATCGCGTAGGTGTTTCAAGGGCCTGAATACTCTCTGGTTGTATACTTCTATATTCGTGTCGTCCATATTGAGTTTGAGCATTTTCGAGTCTTGCATTGGGATGAAGAAATCGGGGGGAAGGGGATTAAGGTTTAAATTTCTCAAGCCGAGGGAAAATAAGCCCTTAGTAACACTGGATAGACACTTCATCAGTTCAGATATTGATATGTTTTCATGACTAATGATCAACTTGTCCAGATAATCTAATTTTGTGAAAGCATTTGATGAACATGATTGGAGTGAGCACGATTCTATTCCAAGATATTTCATCCTGAACTTGGTTATATTTTCAAAAGTGTTATTGTTTATTTCTGGAAGGTAATTACCAGTAAAGTTTAGTTTTTCTATTGTCCTTTTGAAACTAGGGATGTAATCTAAGTCCTGGCCATGGTTTAAACAACGGGCATATTTCTTACGACATTGGCACATACTATTGTTACCACAGGATGCCCAATGTATTTGATGATGGTAGTTCTGGTATGATACGTGTTCTTCTTGGTTTACCGAATCATCAGAATTAAAAGTAAAGCACACGCCTGGTGTAGTCATGGCACAGAGAAATATAACAAGCACAGAAAATCGTGTGACCATCATGTTCGATCGTTGATAGTAAATCCAATCTGAAAAAAAGAATTACAGGCCATTCTCATTTTATTTCATAACAATTTAGATTAGGCTAGTATGAAGATAATCACATGACTGTTTGGTAGCTGATTTATCATAATACGTATTACTTGAAATAAGAAGTCCAAGTGATTTACGACGTTTCGATAGAATAAACTTCCTTTAAAGGCTCAATACCACTCTTGTAACAGAAAAATATGTCTCAATCTTTATTCTGGTCAACAAATTGTACTATATTTTACAGTATTCCAATTAATGGATGATACAAATTTCATCTTAACACACCTAATTTAATTTGCACTTCTACACTGAAAAAACACTTGTGTTGGATCTCAACACAAGTACTTGTGTTAAAACTAATCTACACAAGTAATGTGTTGTTTTGCATTGCATTAACACAAACTTGTGTCGATTTATAAAATCTTGTGTGTTTTTTTATATCATTAACACAAGTAATGTGTACCTTCCACGATTTGTTTTCTTTTTAAGAAAAAAACTCCATACAAAGTCTGAATTCGGGAGTCGTCAAGTTTTAAGAAAAGTAATAAAGGGCTTAATTCACATCTCGAAAATCACATACTGTTCTTCACTGGAAGGGAGTGAGTACCAATTAATCAGACAATTGCCAGACAGACTTGAATGTTAATTGGTGTTAAGTTGTCTGTATAGTTAAAATGTCTGTCTTTTTTTATTGACCCAATAAACTGATAGACCAAATGAATATATAGTGTACATGTGATTTTCAGCACCCTGGTGTTTTCGAAAATTGATTCAATGTGCAATGAACAAAAAAAATGAGTAAAACTCTTAATAATGTAATTGGTTGATGTAATCGAAATTGGACAGTATTGGTTAACTGAAAAGTAACCAATCAAATTTAATTGATCATCCACGTGTATCTCATAATCGACTTATTGATATAATGGTTCTCCAAGTTATCTATACTTTTTGTCTGCGATATCACTTCGGTGGAAGCGGACGTAAAATACAACTAACTAAGAAGAAGTATCTATACTTTAGTCATTGCGACAAATTCTTTCTTTGATATTATATCAGCGACATTCAGTTAGATGTAGTGACGTTAGCATCAACAGAGTGCTTTAGCCGTGATATTTTTTAAAAAAAAATTATAATGGTCACATAGAATACCAGACCGCAGGTTTATTTTTTTACAAAAAATAAAACCGTGTATTTAATTTAGCATGTATATATTGCTTCTATGTATATAATAATTCGTTTCGTTTAAAACAGTCAGATTTAGAACCACTGCCACTGACTGCACCGGAATTCTATTTATATAATGGCGCCACAAAGAAATTTTTTTGATGTGTTCTAAAAGTGTTCCGCTAATTCAGCAATCTAATGAATCTGTCTTAATTTTTCTGAAATCGTGCTTAATTATTATTAGCTAATCGGCGCTACACCGTTGTTCAAATACTTATAATTGCAAGAAACCCCCGACTAGGACCAGCAGGTAAGTTAGTTAGTGTTAGTTGTATTTTACGTCCGCTTCCACCGAGGTGATATCGCAGGTAAGAATCTGTCTTGATTTTATAGTAATGCCCGGTTGCAATTATTGGCCGCCATCTTTGATTTTTATAGACGTTCGGGCCAAAAAAAAAGGAGAAATGTATATCCAGACATGGACTATAGCTAGATACTAACTTTTGTGTTAGTTGTTTATTTGAAATGTAATCTTAATATTTCTGTAAAAGAAAAAAAACAACAACAAACAAATCAGCCTTTTTTTATATCAATGTCATCAATGTGTAGGCCTAATAATTAGACTTTCAATGATTCAGAAGTTTCTCTACAGTTTCGTTATTTTTTTTCCAGTCATTGATGTTAGCATGTACTACACAAAGAAAAACAGGTAACAGAATTTCATTTCCTTTTAATATATTTTTTAAATAATGGCCAATAATTGTTATTGTATGTAACAGGAAAAGTATTTATCTCTGTAGAGAGAGGGCGAGTAAATGGGTTTAAAATTCACTAAATTCACTTGACACAAACTATGCCATTCATTTCCTTGTATTAAATTGGTCGAATCAAGTAGGCCCATTCTCCGTCCGTTCTCTGCACCGGAACACTGTTTCGAATACACCCTAGGCGTATTTAGCAAAGGGAGGAAACCAGAGGACCCGGAGAAAACCCACAAGGCTGGACAGGCGACCTTATTCCTAGTCACATTCAAGTGGGGAATCAAATTATTTCAAATAAGATATTTGCATATAAAGAAAGTAGGCCTACAGCCTCTTTCAAATGTGATATTTGCATATAAAGAAAGTACAAACTTAAATCGTCAGTGCTGGATAAACTAGCCAAAGGATTCGGCTGAATCAATTGGCGCTAAACTTCACCTAGTTTATCCACTGACATACGCCCAAATCAAACATGTTTAATATATTTGGTCGAATTGTATTTGAGTGGTGTGTCCGGCTGTCCGCTTCGCCGAAGCATTCGTCTGATTTTAGAATTCATTAGCCAATCACCACTCATTTATATCGAGTGGGTATCACAAACTAGCAGTCGAACTGTGACACGGGTGCTACAGCCAACAAATTCCAACTACCATACTATCGGCTTAAATGCACGCCAATTGGACCTCAGGTTTTGTGTTCCATTGAAACGACTAGAAATGAAATGGGGTTTAACGTCCTACTATTTTGCTCCGAACTGGGCTAATGAAGACAGGCATACACCACACAGTGTGCTATGAGGGAAATTTTGCCCGGACAGCGGCACTGCGGTGTATCGAATTCCAACTGTCAAGGGATCTTTTACGTGGACGCCAACGTGTACACGGGACCTCGTTTTTTCGTATCATCCGAATGACTAGACAACTGTCCTTGTCAGGCCCTCCATCCTGCATCACTGACAAGGTGGAACCACGCCGGAAAATCTGGGTGAACTTTCTCGGCCAATGCAGGGATCGAACACCCGACCTCCAGGCTAGCGAGCCAGCGTCTTACCCACTTAGCCACCATGACGACTAGACAGGGAATCCATGCTGAAAAATCCAAATGAGCTTTCTCGGTCAACACTGGGAGCAAACCTGCAACCTCCCAGGTAGCAAGCCAGTGCCTTACACACTAAGCCACATGGCTCTCTTCTAATTACTGTGACAGTCCAGTCACATGACAAACAAGGGTTATTAAAACAGATTTTCACGGCTTCGGTAAGATCTTCGGGATTCAAATGGTTTTAGATATCACACAGTTTGTATATGGTAAGGTATCTTAAACAGTTAATTACATGTCACATATTTATATTTTTCAGTTTCCATATTAGATGCCATAGCAAATCAAAGATCATATAATAAAATAAGTCAAAAAACCCAAATATGGGAAAAAAAGAGCTGAAGAAATGGTGATTTGAGCACCTATGATTTCTCATAGTTGTTTTTTGAGGGTGAGTGTTCAATTCTAATAGAAAAGATTGTTGTTGTGGTATTTTAGAATCTCACCATAATGTGTTTGGCACAATATAGCCCGGTTGGAGCTGATGTGACATAAACCTTGATTTCATTTTAATATTTTGAAATTTAAAATTCAGTTTAGTATAGTAAAACTGTGAAGTACATGTATGTGCACAGACAGAATCTTACTTATGTCCAGATACATGTAGATATGACTATCTCATCTGTGGGGACCTACGGTGACCAAGTGGGTTAGACACTGGTTCGCATATTTTAAGGTCGCGGGTTTGCAGTAAGACAATGCAGAACGGAGGGCCTTACAAGGACAGCTGTCTAGTCGTTCAGATTGAACAAAAAAACGTGGTCCCGTGTACACATTGGCGTGCATGTAAAATAGCCCCTGGCAGTTAGAATTTGATACAAGAGTAGGCCTTAGGGTCACGGTACCCGGCAAAATTTCTCTCATAGCACACTGTATGGCATATGCCCAACCTCATTAGCCCAGTCGGAGCTGAACAGTAGGACGCCGAACCCCATTCCATTTCATTTTTTTCATTTTGTCTCATCTGTGACAAAGCAAACCAACACATTACAATACAATGTAATTAAATTAAACTTTCATCTTTTAACTGTCAAGTCGATTTAAGTCAACTAATACATAGTATGTTTTTTTTTTCTCCGTTAACTACATCAGAAAGATCAAGACAGTTGAAAATGGCTATTCATATTATGGAAACTTTTTCTCACAGAGCTTGATAATCAGGTAAAATGTAAGTAACATACATATTTGTATTTTTAATCATCAACTAGTTCTATACACTTGATTGGTAATCTAGTTATTCTTCTTGGAGAAATACCTAGGACTCTCCTATTCAAGTCTTGGCATTCTTGATTTTTGACAATCACATCCATTGATTTTCTTCAAGTTGTGATAGACCCTATGTGTATTTTTACAGTAAATAGCAGTATAAAATTGATGGACAATATTTTACTTTTCAAATAGATTTTAATAGGTAATATCCAATTTGTTGTCGATGGAAATAAAATATAATAATCTGCCTGGGTCTGTTACTGGACAAGACACAATAAGTGTTACCCAAAGATGAAACAAAATAGAGACTCAGTCTCGATGTGGCAAAATAAATTGTTTATTTAAACATTGTGAACCATAAATAGTAAGAAAGTATTATTATTGCCTACTTTTTATTTTTTAGGCTGGAAGATTATTTGATGTATGATAACAACAAGAGATCCCAAGCATCAATTTATTTTAAAATTCTGGAAAAGAATGCATTTGACCCAATTTTTGAATATTTATTTTTTGTTTTTACTGTTAAATATTCTTCCCAAACACAATTAGATTTTAATTCTCTACAGAAATTTATGTATAATATAGAATGTAAAGTGACATATTAATCACTTAGAATTTGGTCGGAAATCATAAAGTATTTAATAGGCATAATCTAGAAACCAAATGTAGATCAAATATACCCAGAATTACAAAAAACCTTGACCTACATTAAGGTGACTTTCCCTTGCTTATGAAATGAAATAGGGTTTGTAGGGCACAAACAACAATGCACCAAAACTCTTAGAATATTGTTTAATTTGGTTACAGGTTTAATACATCTCAAAATCTTATACAGTTGATCGAAGATCTTTCAAGACTAGAGACATTTTCTGGGACCTGCACAACCACGTGATAAATCAGTCATGCATGTCGACTGTCAATATCATCGAATAATAACAATATATGACTATAACACATTACAAAACTTATGGATTAGATTAAACTATAACTTAATAAGCTGCGGTAATTCATCTTACCGTGTTTTATGCCCTCCAAGCGTTACAAAACTGTTGCTGAAGACCACGCTTGCTTAAGCGAACAAGTTGTCAATTAAATAACAGTCTCCTACATCCAGGCGCAAATTAAGTCAACTAAAACAATGACAGGCCTAAATAATCTAGACTACCTTCTCGCTTAAAGTTGATCAAAATTTATGCATTCTTAGACCAAAATATTGTGGAACGAAATTAATATTAAAGAAATATATAAAAAGATAATAAGTGATAATTTGCATCTTACACCGGCCTCCTAATCGTGTATAGTCAAGGAACGATTACAAAAAATTCTTCTATGAAGTGAGCAAATTATCCATTCAGCATATATACATGATTTTGACTAAAAGATGGAATACATGTTACAAATGTACAACCAATTAACTTTCAAACAGTTGTAATTGATTACTATCCTTTACTGATATCTAAACAGTAACATTCTAAACAGTACTACTCAAACAGTTGTAATCTCAAACAGTGTTAATCCAAATAGGAATATTCTAAATAGTAATATTCAAACAGTATATTCAAAACAGTAATTCTCAAACAGTATTATTCTCAAAACAGTAATATACTAATAAACAGTTATTCCAACAGTAATCTTATACTCTGTGATATTTCAAACAGTAATCTCATAATCAGTAATATTTCAAAACAGTAATGTACATTTAATGCTCTGACATTATACAGGCACAAGACATATTTAGTACAAATTACAAAAAGTAATTCACAGGGATTACATGTCTGCTTCTAATAACAAACACAGTTTATTTACAGGCCGTTTTAATACATTGTTTTTTGTCTTAACTGTAACGACTCGAACTAGGCCTTTGTGATCATGACATACACTTAACACATGTCCTAATAAATATGAATCGCGAATATTGCCATCTACTATCATTACTACATCTCCAATGCGGATATTTCTTTTTGGCATCATCCATTTTTGTCTTTCCTGTAGGAGTTGTAAATATTCATTGGACCACCTTTTCCAAAATATACTGGCAAGATACTGAATTTGATGCCAGCGACGTTTCGCGAAATTGTCACTTTTATCAAACACACCTATTGGTAAAGATTCTCCTGCTCTTAACAATAACAAATGATTAGGAGTCAAGGCCTCGAGGTCATTGACATCATCTGACAGCTTGGTGATAGGTCGTGAGTTCATTATAGCTTCGATCTCACAAAACAAAGTCTGCAAGTGTTCATCATCGAAACTTACTAATTGCTCTTTTAAGAGTCCATATAAAATCTTGCGCACTGTTCGGATCTTTTCAGATACCATACTGTCTATCTCGTTACTGTCTGTACCACCGTCCTTTAAACTGTGATAAACATCCTTTCTTTTATTAGACCAATATTTCAGTTTATCAAAATATAACAGTAATAGAGAAACTGTTCTTCTCAACTTATCCCAAGACGAAAAATGACAGAAAAGTTTATCTATAATACCAGTGTTCATTACAGTCGAAGTAACAACTTTCTTCACTTCTAAATCATCAGTAGGAATACTTGGAGAGAATTCCTCTTCGACAGGCCATTCATTCTCTGGTTTCAACAAAAATCTGGGTCCATTAAACCACCGTTGTATTCTTACGTTACTATCAAAGTTTAATCCCCTTGAACAGTCGTCAGCTGGGTTCAATTTAGTGCTTATATACCGCCATGAAGATACTGAACTACCATCATGAATCACAGAAATACGATTTGCAACGAATGTCAAGAAACGAGCGCCTTCATTTCTAATGTACCGTAAAACTGACATACTATCAGTCCAGTAAAACATATCATCAATTTGAATTTCGAGTTCTTTCACAAGCATATTAGTCAAGCGAACAGCAACAGTAGCTGCAGTTAATTCTAATCGTGGCACAGTTAATTTCTTAAGTGGAGCAACGCGAGATTTACTAAACATCAACGCACAATGAATTTTACAGTCTTCATTTACGAGTCTGATATATGTTACAGCACCATAACCAATGTTACTCGCATCGGAAAAGGTATGAATTTGAGACGAAACAATCTTTCCAAAATTCGCCGGTTTATAACTTCTTGGAATCTTGAAATTTTCTAAGCCAGACAGGTTGTTTAGGAATTGATGCCAAGTATGTAGATCGGTCTCAGGTATTACGTCATCCCAATTTAGATTCTGTTGACAAAGTGATTGTAGCAACAACTTTGCAGGCAAAACGAAAGGTGAAACGAGACCTAGTGGGTCATATATAGAGCTAGCTGCAGATAATATTCCGCGTCTTGTTACTGATAACTTATCTAGCTTCACACTAAATTTCAAAACATCACTTTCTACCACCCACCTAATGCCTAGTGCGTGTTCTACTGGTAAAAGTTCACAGTCGAGGTTTAATTCTTTTATGTCCTTGGCTCTCTCGTTAACGGGTATAGCATGCAACACATTGCGTTCGTTACTCACCCATTTTGTGAGGCGAAAAACCTCCATTTTCACATATTGCGCAAATGTCTTTTAACGAATTCTACAGCACTTGAACAATCTTTTAATGACTTAAGTAGGTCATCTACGTAAAAATTCTTAAGTATTGAAGAAACTATATTGTCATCAAACAAATGTGAATTGTCAATTGCAGTTTGGCGCAAAGCTAAATTCGCACAGGACGGGGATGACACAGCACCGAAGAGATGAACAACCATTCTATATGTGTTTGGCGTACAACTAGTGTCTCCATTGGGCCACCATAGAAACCTCAAAAAGTCACGGTCACACTCGGGTACTCGAACCTGGTAAAACATTTTTTCTATGTCACCCATAATAGCTGTATTATCCTGTCGAAAGCGAATTAAAACACCTGTTAATGTATTGGTCATATCAGGACCTTGCAGTAGCTGCCGATTAAGCGATATACCGTCATACATGGCTGCGCAATCGAAAACAACTCGCAACTCGCCTGGTTTTCTTGGATGATACACACCATGGTGTGGGATATACCACACTTGCCCATCATCTCTGTTGACTTGACTATCTGGTACCACTTCTGCATAGCCATTGCAGATAATTTTAGTCATAAATTTAATATAGTCATTACAATAATTAGTGTCTCTGCGCATTTTGTTCTGAAGACTATTTAATCGACACTCTGCTTGCACTCTGTTATTAGGTAACAAAATAGACTCGTCACGAAAAGGCAAACCAATAGTATAATGTCCGTTTTCAAAATTTATTGTCTGATTAACCTTTCTTATAAAAGCATTGTCCTCTTGTGAATTTTCCCTTACATCGTCGATCGATCTTTCCGGAAAATCAAACTTAGTTGTTCGTTGAACCAATACTCGCAAATCTTCAAAATTCTGAACAGCTTGCACATCAAGTTTATTAACAGTATTTACTAAACTAGACGAATCTCTAATTAGATTCCAAATAATCCAACCTAAAGACGACAATACAGCATGCGGACTATCAGATGGCCCTGTTTTTACTTCTATTGGTGAATAAGCATTGGGCACGTTATTGCCGATTAATAACCCGATTTCAGCATTTAAAACAGGAATGTCAATTCCACTTAAATGAGGCCACTTACTAAGGTCATTAGTAGTTGGTATATGATCATGTGAAACAGGTATACAGTCTTTAGTATAAATGGTTGGCAAGTCAACAGTATTACATAAAGTCAAATCACACACTTGCATACCATGAATAACAAACGAATTCAAAGTATGAGTAGAACCCATAGTGTCAAAGGTCAATTTAGTTCTTTTACCATTACAGGACAACTGTCGCATCAAATTTTCAGTACAAAATGAAACGTTAGATCCCGGATCTAGAAAAGCGTATGTTTCAACAACATTATGACCATTCTTTGTTTTTACCATAACAGGTATAATTGCCATTGTACATGGGCTATCATTATGGTTTCCGGCCTCCATATCGTTACTAAGAGTACTCGCTACCACAGGTTTTTGATCAGTTTTTGTTTGATTATTGTTCTTATTATCATGTAATACAGGATGATGACTTTCATCACACTCATTATTTGGGCACTTAGTTTTCTTACTACAGTATTGCAAAATATGACCTGGTTTTAAACAACCAAAACATAAATGTTTAGATTTAACAAAGTCCTTCTTCACTGACTCTGGTAAAGATGATAATTGTTTACATACAAACATTGAATGCGAGGGATGCTTACAGTAACAACATTGCATTGGTAAATGCTATGTCTGTGTTATAAGGTCTTGTATAAGTTGATTGTTCATTGGGCCTTGAATTTACTTGTTGAATGGCAAATGATCCCTTTGGTCTATTTGCATGTACTTGTACATGTGATTTGCGGATTGGTGTACTTAATAACCGGTCACCCAACAAGGCCTTTTTACCATATGTTGGATCATTAGCTTTCAGAGCTTCAGTATTAATTAATTCCACGAGTTGATCAAAATGGACACTGTGTCCTTTATCTCTAGTAGACTGAACAATGTTTCTCCACTTATCGTGAATAAAATAGGGTAATTTTTGTAGAATTCTTTTAATATTTTCAGAGTACTCCAAAATGTTTACCGCTTCAATACTTTTAACTGCATGAAGACATTCTGTTAAGAATAAAGCAAAGTCATCTAAACCCTTAGGATTGTCTGACTTGATAACTGGCCAATGTAAGGCCTTTTCTATAAAAGCATTCGCTATCAGTTCACTATTACCATATCTAGATTGTAGTTGACTCAAAGCGCAATCATACGCCTTGTCAGCACGAAGATAACTATAACCTCGAACAATTTTATTTGCTTCTCCTGATGTAAATTGATCAAGAAAGTTCAAGCGCTCATCATAAGTGTCACAATTTGTTACGATCACAGAATTAAATTGTCTAATAAATCTTTGATACTCCAAAATATTACCATCAAACGGTTGAATACTTGTATTAGGTTTCTTGATATGTTTAATCATAGAGTACAAGGCTCCTTCTGCATTATGTGGCGTCAAATTTTGATCAGGTACCAAGTTTGCTGAAACACTGTCAGGCCTGTTTTCAAAAGGGCTAACATCTTTATTAAATTCACATTGATTATGTGTAGGTCTAATTGTTAGTTTAT